TAATTCATCTGCTTGCTTTCCTGAGTGTTTGGCTGCTAGCCTGTTCGTTACTCCACTGCCACTTTCCCATGCTGTGAAACTCAGTACTGTCATCATTACACTAATCCAATCATCTTCTTGCCCGCCTTCTTTAAAGCCAATCAGCCACTCTGTGTGGTTTAAATCTCAGTGCTCTGTCATTCCCTCTTTCAGGTTCTCATTCGTGTAACCCGATCAGAGCTCCATCTTCCTCACCACAACCATCTAGACTGGGAGAGGTCTTATCCTAACTCTTGTCACGCCTGAGAATCTTTTCTGCCATGATGGTCCATCAGAGTCTAATCGCCAAATACATTAGTTTATCTGTCACAGTAAATCATGTTCATATCATCCAAATGATCTCTAGTTATTGAACTGATGTTGTGGGGAGACATATCTGTTTTGGTACTGTGGGAACTCAACTTCCTTATATACACACGTATATAAGGAAATAAATATTTCAAATGTCAAAATATCTGTAAGGGAAATAATTACATTTAAGTTCAAACTTGGTTTGGTGTACGGTTATAGGAGGTTAAGTTGTGAGCGGTTTCTCAATTCCCCTCATATGGTCCCCAGGCAGCTGAACTGTGGCGTGAAGGCAATAAAGTAAAATTAAAGTTAAAGAAAAGTTGGAGTTAGGTTAAGGTTAGGTTAAAATTAATAAAGTTTCGGGTACTCGGGCTGTTTGATATAACGATATAAAAATGTCTATCGTTTCCTATTATGCTATCGTTTGTTTCGTGGTGTCGCAAAATAAACTGTGTATGGCAATATTTTCATGATTTTGATGGTCATTGTAGTGGCTATATCAATTTCATAAAGTTCTCTCTTTCTCTTATGTTTAATATAACCACACCACAGATGGACAAGCAACTGTTTTTACGCGTTGTCGTTAGCAACAACGAGGTTAAAACCATGGCGTAGCTCCACCATCCGCTTGTTTGTTTTGCACGTAAACCTTTCACAATAAAGTTCAAGATCCTGTTGAGACTTTTCAAAATAAACCGAATCCCGTTAAAGAGTGTGCAGAGTGTTTACAGATGAGAAGCAAAAAAGAGCCGCCAGGTGCTAAAAAATAAACCTTAGACTCAAACGTTAGAACAGGCTTTTCCCCGCAGCACGCCGTGTAATAAATAAACTTAAACCTAAAAATACCAGAATAGGGAGGATGGTGTCATCCTCCCTATTCTGGTATTTTAAAGAGTACTTAGCGGAAATATTAAGCAACCTAACCTTTTTCAAGAATAATTAAATAGATTCAACATCTTTCTTCAACAAATTTGCAGACTGCACAGATGGAACCTTCCCAAAGGAAAAAGTACTTTGGCTTACTAGGGTATATTAGACTTAATAGTTACTATATACAGTAATGGACTTCTATACATTTTACATCACATTAAAACTTTGGGTGTATGATTCAGATAGTTATTTATTAAAAGCTAGACATTTTAAATGAGAATAAGACAGAAAAGCATTTCATTGTACCCTCCTTTTCCTGTTAATGCCCTACCTGCCCCCCTGGCTAAACTTTGCTAGACCCGCCCCTGCACAGTTACCAGCCATCAGCTACGCAGAAAAGGATCCTGGTGTAATATTAAATAAATTCTAAGAACAGCTTATCAAGCTTAAACCTGCTGCTGTTGTTTAGCCTCTTTCTTGCGCAAAGTGGGCGATAAAGAAACAAGAGAGACGGAGTCGTGACAGAAAAGCCGATCAGCCGATTATTGATCAGTTTCATGATTGAAGTAGTGACAGGAGAGGGAGGGGGAGAGAGAGGCAGTCGCTCCATATATCGGTTGTTAAGCTTAACGTGGGAATGCTTTACAAACATTCAGAGATGAACTTATGAACTTGCTTTACTTCTCTCTGGGATCACTTTCTCGGAGATGAAATGCCAGTTTGGTAGTGAGGTTTGTTTGTTTTGGGGTTTTTTTTTCCCTCTCCCCCTCCTCTGAATATACTTATTTAGGTATATAAATGTGTATGTATAGACATAGATATATGATTGTTTATATAAAAAAAAAGAAGTGATGGAAAAAAAGCATATGTGTGTACGTGGGTTTGGATACCTGAAACTCAGTGAGCTGCTGCATCAGCTCTTCCTGCTCCTTGCTGTTGCTCAGTGGAGGAAGGATGTTCAAAAAAACCTTCAGGAGGTCCAGATTCTCACCAGACACACTGGAAAGGGTGAAGATGGGTGTAATGCTGCAAATGTGCATCCAGCCGAACACACACACACACACACACACACACACACACACACACACACACACACACACACACACACACACAGTGAAGTGAAAATTCAATTAAGTACATCATTAAGTGTAATATTTTTCCACTGTGGACATACAGATCAGTGAATTCACGATCATGAATAGATTGTGAATTCACCAACACAAAACCGTTCTTAATAGAAATACAAGTTGATAATGGGATAATATAGATACTACACACAATGTTACACCTCGGACACATAAAAGTTGTTGTGGAAATCTCTGACCAGTATCAATGGAGAACAAAGTAACTACAAGCTCCTGCAACAGAACACAAAGTGCTGTAATCAAATACTGAGCCACAACAAAAGACATAAAAGTATTTCATGTATGAATGACTTTTACTTTTAAGATTTACAATACAGTTTAGTGCAACTACTACATAGTCATTATTTTCCTGTGTAAATCGTTGGTTGTTATAATAAAAAATGTCAGTTGAACATATCATATAGCAGACACACAGTGATATTTGAGAAATTACAGCCTCTAAACGCTTCCTGTAGGTTCCAATGAAAGTCTGGATTGTGGTTGAAGTTATTTTCGACCATTCCTCTTTATAAAACATCTCTAGTTCATTCAGGTTTAATAGCTTCCAAACATAGACAGCTCTCTTTAACTCACACCACAGATTTTCAATAATATTCAGGTCTGGGGACTGAGATGGCCGTTCCAGAACGTTGTACT